TTTGCGGGGATTGATTTATTTCGAAATCAATTGTACTTGAACCATTTTGTAATGAAGATGAATAAACAACTTCAAAACGCCAATAATTAATCAGCGCGTTCGAAACGAATAGATTATTTTTAGCAGTGAAATTAGCTGTGTTTGAACCTAAGTAAAGGCAAATATGAATAAAAATTCATACATAAATGTAGCATTGAACATATATGCTTGATCCTTTTACTAAAGTCATTTATCTTCGAATTCAGGTATGATCTACACAACGAGGAAACCTGAAAAATCTCTATGCTATCCTGAAAGCTTGCACTCCACGGAACGAGACTTACTGATATTTATGATCATTCATAAGATTTGGAAGTTACACGACTCTCTCAGGTTAGACCCTAAAGAGGAAAGACAGATTAATTTAGGACAACGAAAATCGCCGAGTCTTTCTCACACCCTAATCGAATTTTTCAAAGGTTCACTGATAAACCTTCAACAGGCTTCATTTGGACTTATCTCTCTCAGTTACTACATAGTCCACATTTATCTAAATGATTACGGGCGATATAATTCTCGTTCTACCCTATTGTGCTTCTAAATAAATAGAGTTACAGCATCATATACACTAGATTTTGAAATGAAGTTTTATTAAATTAAAATAGTTAAAAAATTACCAAAGAACCAAATATTTTCATATTGTTTCACGTTCTGAAATGCTGTCCATTGAACCACATTCGATGTTGTATTCATTACACCTTGATAAATGTTCCAAGTGATATTATTTATAGATTGACAATTATCCGTACAAGTAGAAAAAAGAGCAACTTGTGTTGTTGGATTCACATATTGATATTCGACATTTTCACCACATAATGTTGAAATAACACATCTAAATTTGAATTAGTTTTACGCTCTGATATATAGTTTAATGAAGATTTAACAGACCCCATCACAATCAACATTTGCTGATTACGTTCTACTTTCACGAGAAGATAATCGAAACCTTGAACAGATGAATTTTGAAGATTTAGCATTGTAACTTTAAATTGATAAGTTTGACTTGATTTTAGTGAATTTCCAAGAATAATTAATGAAGATTTTGGTGAATTAGTTGCACCAACATAGTTTAATCCTATTTAATTAGATTTCATAGATGAGAATAAAATAGAGGATAATAATTATGAATACCTGATTGATTTGAAAAGCATGATGAATTAAATTGTTGAGTTCTTGGATCATCAAGAGGTAAATCAGTTCCTAAAATACTTGGAAAACTGTAATCGGGATAAATTCGACAATAATATTCATAGTTCCAATTCTACAAAAAATCAAACAAATTAAAACAATTAGAACTTGGGCACAAGTAAATTCGTACACTGGCATTAAATGTAATGGTATCAGGATCAATCGAATAGCTTCCTGGATCAAGAATAAGATCTTGTTGATATCCACGTGTAATCATGGTAGGGCCAAATTGAACAAGATTTACAACAATATTCGATGGAATTATTTGTATATAAGCAGATGCTGCTGAAGATAATTGACGTGCAGCAAACATTCTAACAGTTAATGTAAACTGATAAGTCCCATAATCAAGCGTTAGTTCTGGAATATAAAGTTCACTCAATGTTGTAATTATAGTTTGTTCTTGTAGAGTTTCAGATGAACAAATTGTTGATGTACAGTGACTTATTTTCCATTCTATCGTATTGGAAAGTGAACCACTGCAATTTAGTTGAATATATGAACTAATAGAGAAAGCTTCACTTCGTCGATATTGTAATGGTGATGATAAAGATGAATTAGCAGGAGTTAATGTTATGATAGGCTGATAACAATCTTAAGTAAAAATGAAATACTAGTGTTTCCATGTAGATCTAGGATAATTACTTTTATATGACGAAATGCTTGTTCGTGTACTACTAGAACTCCCCGGCGTCGTAGTATTAGTCACAGGCATTGTAGTTGTAGATATTGTACTCGTAATCATTGTAATTGTAGTTGTTGTAGCGTTATTTGAAGGTATGGTAGTCGTAGCTGTTGTAGAGTTATTTGCAGGAATGATAGTCGTAGACGTTGTTGTGTTATTCACGGGTATTGTAGCGTTATTTGCAAGTATGGTAGTTGTAGGTGTTGTAGAGTTATTTGCAGGAATGGCACTCGTAGGCGTTACTGTGTTATTCACGGGTATTGTAGCATTACCTGCAGGCAGTGTAGTCACAGGCATTATAGTGTTATTTGCAGGAGTGGCACTCGTAGGCGTTACGGTGTTATTCACGGGTATTGTAGCATTACCTGCAGGCACTGTAGTCATAGGCATTATTGTGTTATTTGCAGGAATGCCAGTCATATGCATTGTAGCGTTGTTTGCAGGTATTGTAGTCATAGCGGTTGTAGAGTTAGATGCAGGGATGGTAGGCAGATGNTCATAGGCATTATAGTGTTATTTGCAGGAATGCCAGTCATATGCATTGTAGCGTTGTTTGCAGGTATTGTAGTCATAGCCGTTGTGGCGTTACCTGCAGGCAGTGTAGTCATAGGCATTATAGTGTTATTTGCAGGAATGGCACTCGTAGGCGTTACTGTGTTATTCACCGGTATTGTAGCATTACCTGCAGGCAGTGTAGTCATAGGTGTTGTAGAGATATTTGGAGGAATGTCAGTCGTATGCATTGTAGCATTGTTTGCAGGTATGGTAGTCATAGGTATTGTAGTGTTATTTGCAGATATGGTAGTCATAGGTATTGTAGTGTTATTTGCAGATATGGAAGCCGCATGCGTTGTAGAGTTATTTACAGGTATTGTGATCGTAGCCGGTGGGGTCGTAGCAACGGTTCTTGGTGCCACAGTAATTATAACTGGCCTGCTTGATATAAGACCAGTCACGGTGGATGATTGCCATTGCATTGTTGAGAACTCTTCTATAAATATACTTATGTCTGAAATTCTTTATAAAATCGCTAAAGACGAACCTCCAAGAAGTTGGATTGTTGTTTGCATGGCCCCGGTTGTTGGCGTATCTATCAAAAGATGATATTTACTTTTCGAAATATGTAGGAAGCTACGTTGTAAGTAAAATATTGCAAGGAAAGACTTTTTTCAATATTATAGTCCAACATGTTTTGCAACGACTAATGGCAATAGGTTACAATGCTTTCTCATAATCTGAAAAATCAGTCGTAATTTGTTTTTAATATCAACGCGGTGGAACTAATATATGATTTGAAGATATACTGAACAGAGTTGGATGCTTTTTAAGACTAGTAGTATTATAGATGACATGCGTCTTATAGGTATTTTGAAAATATCTAATATCCTCTAATACAGTTTTGAGCATGTAAAATAAAATAAAAACCAATTTGGATTTTTATGAGCTTGTTCACCCATATTATAGATTGAGTGATACGCAATATATTTTTTATCAGAGTAGTAGGTTACGCATAAACTCGGTTATTCTAGGTCATCGATGTCATTGGTGATATTTCTCGAAGATTAAGTTGCTTAATACAAGATTATGCCGAGTGGTTGCAACTATTTGGATATTCTAACTTTCATTCGATGTGTGTAGGTGCAAATTTTTACATCAAAATTATCCTGTATTGAGTTCAGTTCAAGAGCCTCTGAAGATAAAAGAAATCGCATTCGAATATTTGAAATAAATAGTAATTTTATTTCGATTTCGGTTTCATAGCTAGAAAAAAAAGAACGTTTTCATCCTGTTACACCAGAATGTTTTGGATTAAAAATTCGAACCAACGTGTTCATGCCATTAAAATATTCTCTTTAACCAAAAGTTTAAAATAGATCAAAACCAATGTCTACTTAATCATTCAAAAAAAACTGTTTTTGTCTATTTTTCAGGTGAAACGGATGAGATTTATTTTTCTATCTCTCAATACAGTATCGAGCCGACTGTTATACGAGTTCATTGTCACCAAAGAGAAACATGAATATCTTTCAACAAGTTCGAATGATTTTCATATTGCAAAGTTTTACATCGTTTGTTTGTGACGAAAATCTAAATATTTTCGAATTCAAGTAGATCTTTGTATGTCTTAGAGACATTTATTTTTAGTTTAAATTCAAAAATAGACCATCCAAACGAAGGCGAACTGGCTAGAGGGGAAAAAAGAATTATTCTGATTAATGATGTTCTTTCATCTTGACATAAAATCAATTCGATCTTATTAATATTCATAGTAAAACTATCTGGCAGCGTATAGATTGTGTCGCCTTGTCATCTATGGCTCCCCTAGTGAAACTAATTATTCTATTAGTTCAAAATACGCAATAGCTACTTTTTATATAATTACTGCATAGTATTAATTTAGCGTATTGTAGACTAGCCATTGTAATAATTTCATTAAAGCCTCGAAAACTATTTCCAATTGTCTGTAAATATTCATCAAAACATCGCTGAAAGACCAACATACATAGAAAATGCAGTAAAAAATTCGTAATTCGATTACAGATACACTATTTTCAACTACATGTATACTGTAATGATGATTACTAGTTCGCATAATTTCCTGCAAAAGCTATGATTATGATTACTAATTATAAATGATTTTCATTCGTAAAGAAAACAAAATAGTGGCGCATCTTCATTTTCTATAGTACTAAAAATAATACCATGTAATCGTGATTATTACTTAAACGCTTTTTTCATACTCACCGCAATAACTAAGATCCAAAAGAAATGTTAGAATTCGATCATTATTCGTATCCGCTACCAATATATTACCAACACTATCAAAAGCCATAGTTACAGGAAAATATAACTGATCCAACGCTGGTCCATATGAACCAGTACATCCTACTATACATTGAAAACCGATGGGCCCTGATCGAACTATGCGGTGGTTGTTTTTGTCGACAATAAATAAATTTCCGTCAGCATCAATTACAACTCCACTAGGACAACTGACAGTATTTGCGCCGAACATTCCGTTTCCAAACACTGTTGTTCCATTTAATTTACCGAAATTAAATTTTTGAACTCTATCATTGTTACAATCTGCAACATACAGACTAAAATCGATATCGACAAATATTCCTTGAGGTTTATTTAACATATTCGATGTTGAACCATTTGAGCCATTGCCTGCAGCTATTGTCGGTGCATTTGAGGTAATATTTAGCGAAAAATCCAGAACTAGATGTTGACTTTCAACTGAACAATAAAGAGTATTATTTATATCGATAAAGAGACTAAAACAGGTCCACAGGGTATTCATAACTAAGACACTATTGGTTGCATTAACTCTCCATCGATATACATCACCTAGTATGCCACTACTGGCATACATATCACCATTTACTATTACAAAAATACCACTTGCATCGTTTAAATTACCGGAAAGATTCCTTGTTGGAATCATACTTTCTGTAGACCATACTCGAATGAGATTTAAACTGGGACTTGATACGTAAACTCCATCGATAGCGTCCACAAAGATGTTGGTAGGTTGTATGCCCACCATAGTGTTATCAGCAAAAATTGCTGCATTTGGATTCCATAATGCGGTTGGACAGATTTTTGGTTCATTATAAGAAATTACTGAAATGAAACGAAAAATTTCGACTCTTATTTTTTATAAAAAAACTGACTTAACTACTCAAGGTAACTGATAGATTTTTGGTAATAATTGAATCATTATTTATTCTATCTAATGGGAGACAAGTAATTGTTTGATGATAGAAACACTGCGATAAGCAGTTGCAGTTGTCTGAAAAATCGATAGAAGTAAGATCTAGAGTTCGAAGATAGCGAAAAACATTATAGATTTCATTATTATTCATTTTATTTTGACATTTGAAAGATATTAAATAGTTTTAGTAAAATATATATATAGAGAGAGAGAGAGTTACAATAAAGAAGTCGACAGTCTCGCTATACTAATGCAAACAAGATCAAATGAGAAAATCCTAACAGGCTTTTATCGACAAAAAAATACAATCTGCATTGGTTTTCTTTTCAAAACGATTCTAAGAAAGTAGGTAGTCTTACTGGTATGGTTTACATTTTTTCTTAACAATAAATAGCAATGTTCCTATGAATGAATGTTGTGCTAAGAAGATCTCATATATATATATATATATATCGGTGATAAAAGCCGATAATAATTTTATACATTTCCGTTTTATTACTAGCAAGCTATTCAGATCTTAGATCAATGAAAGTATAACATATTCTAGAAGCTTTTATTCTTTCACATAAAAAATAATAATACTTACTGCATGAAAGAGGCGACGGATTAAATTTTTGAAGACGACTATTCTGAGTATCAGTAACATAAATATTTCCATCACTATCAAAAGCTATACTTTGAGGCCCATTTAATTGAGTTGGTCCAGAACCCGATGCGCCTGAGCAGCCAACTATGCATCGAAAACCATTGGGTCCAGATCCAACTATGCGATTGTTGCCACTGTCTACTATGAACAAATAACCATCGCCATCAAGTACCACATCTGTTGGATTATTAAGCATAATTGTTTCTGGCGCTCCTTGTCCTGCCGACGTTGTTCCATTTAAGTTTCCTGGCTGAAATAACTGAATTCTATTGTTATTAGAATCTGCAACGTATAAGTTAAAATTGATGTCGACAAATATTCCTGTAGGACTATCAAGCATGTTAATTAGAGATCCTGAACAACCAGTTCCAGCAACAACTGTTGATGTATTTAATGAATCATACAGTGACTTGGCAACAACAATATTCAATCCCCCAGCAGAGCAGTATATTGTACTGTTAATATCAATAAAAAGATCAAAGCAATTACCAGTGATGTACATTACGGGGATATTGTTGTTCGTATTTAATAATAATTTATTAATTTGACCTGTTTCAGCAGTACTGTCGGTATAGATATCACCAGCACTTGTGATAAAAATACTATATGGATTTTGTACACCACCAGAGATTGTTCCAAGCAAATTGCCGTTATCAGCGAGCAACACTTGAATATTATTATAACTAGGTTCAACAACATAAATTGTATTATTAGTAGTGATAAAAAGAGAAATAGCATTTGGACCAATCTCGGAACTATCTGCAATGGTAATGCCATCAGGACTCCATGTAGCAAGTGCACAAAATCTTGGTTGATTAAGCGAAACATCTATATGAATAGACAAATGATATTTCTTTTAAATTTCCCTGCATTATTATGACTAAATCGTCAATTTTTGCAGATCAGACAATGAAATCGAAGTTGTTAAATAAACAAAGGATGTGAATACTTTCAAAACTGAGTATTTGTTTTCTTCATAATACCATAGATTTGTTCACACTAGTATCGGTATACAGACAGTAACTGTGTGGATCAATTAGTAATAATCGATCGAGAGGTGAAAATAGAAATTCAATGCACTGGATCATGTCTCGTTACTTGACATTTTCTAGTTTGACGCAATAGACTCTCGATTAAATATTTCTTCTCAATGGCGGTTTTCAAGTATTTAGATTCTTATGGAACCTACATTACAATTTCTACATGTAGAATATCATGAATAAGAGTCATATTCAATATATTTTATACTTCTATTTCGAGACAAAGCTACTCATCGATACGGAATATCAACATACTTAGTTGATTTGATGGCAATGCAACATTTCCGATTGAAGGAGTGGTCGTTAATAAAGAATTTATTTGAAGAGTAGTTGTTATGTTGCCCACTAAAAATCGTAAAAATGGTCAAATAAATCAGTGCTAATATACAAATTATATTACTCGTATTGGTCGTTGTCGACAGATCTATAATAAAGAAAACATAATTAAATAAAACTGATTCTACCAAATATTTCTTTTACGTCAGAATCACGTATTATCATGAAACTCAGTGAAAAATATTTATGGATATGATTAAAATATTATTTTTCTCGAAAACAGCCATCGCAATTAAAGAATTAGTGAAATGTAAATCGAAGTTATCTGGTCGAATTCTCATATTAGAAAAAAGTAATGAATCAAAAGAGAAACTGCTGAAAATGAAAAATAAATCATAATCAAGTTGAACACTTTGCCTATGATACATATACTCGTTATGCCACTTACTGCAAAAATTACCAGATACATAAAACTTTTGAATACGGTTATTGTAAGTATCAGCGACATAAATATTTCCATAACTATCGAAAGCCATGCTATAAGGATAAAATAATTGATCTGACCGTGAACCCCATCCTCCTGAACAGCCAACTATGCATAGAAAACCATTGGGTCCAGATCCAACTATGCGATTGTTCTGGCAATCTACTATGAACAAATAGCCAGCAGCATCAAGTACAACGTTTACAGGATAACTAAGTTCAATCGTGCCTGGTGCTCCATTTCCTGCCACAGTTGTTCCATTTAAGTTCCCCGGCTGAAATAGCTGAATTCTATCATTGTCAGAATCCGCTACGTATAAGTTGAAATTGATGTCAACAAATATGCCGCTCGGACTATATAGCATATAGGGCAAAAATCCTGGGCAACCAGTGCCTGCAACAACGGATAAATTGTTATCGCTACTATTGAGTGATCGTTTAATGACTTGATGCTGGCTCGATAAGGCGCAATACAAGGAATTGTTAGTATCGATAAAAATATTCCAACACGCTCCATTGAAATATACTGTTGATAAAGTAGTTGCATTATTTAATATCACTTCGTTCACACCTCCACCACCATAACTGAAATAGAAATCCTCATCAGAAGTGACAAAAATACTGTACGCTCCACTATTAATTATGTTGTATATAATTGGGGGACTGTTTCCTTCAAGCCACACATTAATTATACTGTTTTGCCTGTTAGGCACGTAATCCGTATTGTTAATATTGACAAACATACCATAGGGTTTTTTA